AGAAACAAATATTTGGGCTACAGAGGTACGCAAATGGCATTTTAGCCGTAAATTAAAGATTTAAACAATTTAAAACAAATATTAACTTACAATAACCTATCAGAATCTTGAATCCACCATTATAACTTTGCAGTAGATTTTTCATAAAGCTAAATACATTTTTAAAAGAGAAAAGAGCAACTTCATACTCCAGGCATTGACAGTCGCCATCTTGAAAATCATAACAGAGACTGCAAAAAGTTTTTATACACAAATGATGCGCTCACGTGATCCCGTTGCCAATCCCGGTTACGTTAGTCTATTATATCCCTGTAAAAATAGTACTAGTTCTAGTTCTTGGAACTAGAACTATGAAAAAAAGGCAGTACTAGAATTGATTTAGTTCTAGTACCAAGGAACTACAACAACACTACAATGTACATACAATAGATCTTGACAGACTATCATACTCAAGCATGATTGTGCAATTGATATTAGAGTGGTGCAACTAAGCAGGCTCAGAGCTCATGGATGTACATGTAGTTCTTGATGATCTACCTTTGTATTTTCTGCAACAACTAAAGCTACCTTGGTTATAGCACAAATGACATAGCCTAGATAGGCAAATGTAGCAGTGTAGTTTTTGGCTTCTTGCATGCTCCAAGCCTTAGTTCAACTTCAGGTAGCTCAGGCTAAGACTGACATTCACTTCATCAGAGTTATTTACATCAATGAAGAACATGGTGTGTCTGCTTTCTTAACCTTCCTTGCTGCATTTGGACAGCAGTACACTCTAATCAGTCTTGCAAGATTTGTACTGAGTTGCCATTTTATTTCACTGTATAAAGATTATCAAGTTTATTAAAAAGTGGACATTTTTTCATACGTATGTGTACAGACAGACAGAGTTATATACTCGTTTCGTTTATGTGGGGCTCACTTAGGCTTGCCCCAAATATCTATAATTTCATTTTTATTTCAATCTTGTTATTATTAACACTTTGGTACTTAAAATTAGAGCTTCACATGTACAATGTACATTTACATTTTTATTACTAGACGAATGTAAAACATTGAAGGGGCAAGCCTAAGCAAGCAAATCAATGTCGTACATATATACAATAGATCTTGACAGATTAACAATACTCATGCATGATTCAGTGTGCTTGTGGACTAAGCAGCTCAGAACTTGATGTATCATGCAGTTCTTGATGATCTACCTTTTGTAATCTCTGGAGCAGTGAAAGTTAGTACCTTGCTTATAGCACTTATCAAGCTTAAAGATAGCTACAAGCAGTCATTGCACAAATGATATAGCTAGATAGGCAACTCTACCAATGTAGTTTTTTGGCTTCTTGCTATTTGTAGTGCTCCAAGTGCAGTCACAGTCAGGTATATACAGACTGAGTTACTGACATTTACTTGATCAGAGTTAGTCACATCAATAAAAAAACATGGCATATTTGTTTTCTTAACCTTCCTTGCTGCATTGGATAGCAGTACAGTCTTATCTTGCTGACCTCAGTGACTTGCAAGCTGAAGAGTTTCCCGTTTGGATAGCCGCCATTTTTATTTCATTGTGACCACACCCATTTTCAATGAAGATTATCAAGTTTATTAAAAAGTGGAAATTTTTTCATACAGATAAGTAGGGGTGACGTACGTGTACAAACAAACAAACATACTCGTGTCGTTTATGTGGGGCGAGCTCAGGCTCGCCCCAATTAATACAGTATAGCTTTGAAATTGTTGTTGATTTAAAAATCTGACAACCTTTTAATTATTGCCACAAAATTGTTAATTACCAAAAAAATTTTGGCTAATAATACTTTATTACTTAATTTGCCTCAATATTATTATAATTCAATCATAAATTTTGTCTTTTGTTCCTTTACCATCTTCTACCATTATTTGTAATTAATAAATTATTATTTCTTGCTTAAGCCTAACATACATGAGGTAACATGTTGTATTCAACATGTTGCCTCGTGTATGATAGCAAATTTGTTGCATGCAACATCCAAGCAACATATTGCTTCAAACATCAAAGGTAACTAGGCAACACATAAGGAATGCAATAATAACTTCATAATAATTATTATTATAAAAATAGCAAGCAACATGTTTCCCCTTTTGTTCAACAGTGTGCAACATGTTGAATACAACATGCTGCTTGATGTTGCATTCAACATGTTGCCCCATATATGTTGGGCTTAAAGAAATCACCTTTTTCCCACTGGTTACTATGGTAAAGCCAGTATTCATTATGTACTATCATAACTTCCTTTAGTCACAAGATCTTTGAATATATTTAAGGTACCACCCACTTTTTGTGTCTACTGTCTAGCTGACTTTCTTTAGTCTTTTTCTCTCCTCCTTCCACCTTCTTCATTTTGTTTTGTTGCTTCATCAGGGCTATCTTTCCCCAGACTGCTCTCACTCTCGTTCATTCCAACTTCTTCATTTT